AAAACATCTTCGGAAAACTTTGGATGTACCCTACATGAAAGTGGTGCCCATTGAAGTTATTAAAGCGATGTGGTCGTAATTCCAACATTAACTCTGTTATGGTGTTGTTGGTAAATACATAATTTAGCTTTCCTGTAGTTGCCCCACAATAATAGCAAATGTAATACAATGATTCCTTTATCATGTCATAAATAATAGTATTTCCCGCTTTGGCCAATTTGAACGACTTCCAAAATGATTCATCCATAATTGATTCGTCAAGTATAATAAAAAAGACAACATCCATGTGGCTCAAACGTTCAGGTACGGTGATAAACTGTAAATATTTTTCAACATCGCGTAAGAGAATGATGTTCAAAAAGGACGCACGCTTTTTCTCAAGAAAACTCGCAAATTTAAACGTATCGTGGTTTATTACCATAACTTCACTGTACACGTGCTCATGGATGGCTTTTAGCAGATGATTAACCTCGTCATTAGTCGAATTTTCAATGTGTAATATTACAGAAAATCCGTTATAAACGTAGAATAAATCGTCGAAAAGCTTCTTTTGGAAGAGTTGAAGTGAATTAGGTATAAATGCTGCATTTTCTGCAGCATTATTATAATACAGAACTAAGCTGTACAACAGAACATACGACAATTTCGTATTGCCTGCCATAAACTAACGCACTTCCATAAACAGCGCGTATCTTCATTTAAATGTGCCTGCAAAACACCTTCGATTATGGATCAATATTATGTTTAGGTAGGAAAATAAATATAAAAACTGTGAACCAGTAGGTACTTAATGATCAAATATTTACTCAATTATTAGGGACTTCGAAATAACACCGAGGAATAAGTTTGGAAGTGCTGAATGCAATACAATATTGTTCCAATGCAAACAGTTGCCGGGATGTTGGTGTAAATATGTCAAAACAGGTACAAAATTATCGAATTGCTTGCCGTTTTACACATCCACATGCTCAGCTCAGTCATAATTCAATGCAAATATTCACGAATTCGATAGTTTTTACCTTTCCTATTCACATGAATTGCCAAATTTGATCAATTGAATTTTAAAAAATCGTTAAAAATTTTAAGAATACCGTTCTAACGTACTTACCACATTTCCCGCTGCAAAATTTGATTTGGGAAAGTACAACTGAAGGTGGACGCATAGGCCGAGTGGAGTAGAGTAAAGCCCAAAGCGCGAAAAAACAGGAACAGCAAACTTATCGTAACTAACGGATATGCTAGTGCAAATGCGCATTGAAATTTGGGATGAGTCATATTTTCTCCAAGGGGTAATCATAAATTGTCTGTATTTTTCATGGTAAATATGTTAAAAAATATTGTAAAAGAAAAAATCCTCTTACGAACACATCAAAATACAAAATTACGAACAAATCAAAATATTCTTGTAGTATTCTCCAAATCAAATAATATTTTTGGAATCTTCATAGAACCTCCTTTTAAAATCTTTTAGAATAACCATCAGAACGTTAAAATTTCCTTTTATCTATTTAGGATCTTCCCAAAAATGTCTTTAGCGTAATCTTAGTAGACTTTTTAACATTCTATCACAGGTGGGGTGTGTTTGCTAGTAAAATTTTTAAATGTTTCATTTGTTAATTATTGTCACAAGTTGTATACTTATTGTTTTATACTATCGCTTTTCAAGGATGTATCAGAAGTAGGGGTTAGCTATTTAATTTTTTTACTTTGAGTTGATGGGGCTGAATTTTCCCTTACGTCATTTAGGTTCTCTTGTTGCATAAATTGCAAATATTGTGAAATTGTAATGAAGTACCCGTCATCCCCGCCCTTTTAGAGACTCAAATCAGAAGCAGACCTTGCATAGAGATTTTGCACTGCAGTTTAGGGTTCCGATATACACTGTGTCCAAGATATGGATGTGGTGATCATGGAGATCTCGGAAACCACAGAAGTAGCGATGGGAATTAGGAAAAATGTGCCCAGTTAAAGAATTATTGTCATGCTGTAGAGGAAACCAGAACATTCCGATTACATTCGAATATGCCAGAAAAACTGAAATATACCGATTTGGTTTCTAAATTTTTCTGACATTGAACAGATGCAAAATATTAAAAAGTACTTTCTCATTGCCACTATTTGAGCTTTGCAAGCCAGCGTTGAAAAATTGTCAATACTCTCTCATCTTTAATTTATATTTATATCCCATAATCGGAATCGTCTGAATGCCTTTACAGTATAATAATTACCTTTTAATTGCTCAACTTTTCCCCCGAATTTTCCCTAATTTGACCACCTTCGTATCTTCTAGGGTTTTCGAGATCCTCATGACATGATGACATTTTTTGCTCGAACACAGTGTATAAAGCAATCTTATATACAGGGTGAGTTCATTCCGATCTTTAGTATGGGGATCTCGCAAACCGTAACGTAAGAGATACAAAGTCGCTTAAATGGGCAAAGAATTGCAGAATTTTATGTAGATTAAGTTTCCCTTTCAGAGTTTCTTCAAACTGTACAAATAACAAAGTTATGGTCAAAAAACCGGAAAATTTCATTTTCGAAAATGCCCTGGCGTTTATTTATTTTCAAAGATATCAAAAAATAGATTCAGCAAACCCTTAGTGATTTTTTCTCGGCTTTCTTATAGTGCTCAAACAAAATCACTTGTGAGTTTCTAGTAAATCACGTTAAAATTCTTATTTCTTATGGACGTCATATTGGATTTTTGTCATTCGATAGTGAAAAAAATTACCAAATCAACGATACTAAACACTTAGTATTTCATTTGGGAATCAACCTTGCATTTTTGCCTCGAATTGGCGGTGTATTTTTTATGGCAATAATTCCATGGCCGTGTCGATGGTGACTGTTCGAAACAATAAACGAACGAATTTGGTTTCAATCATACTAATGGAATTATTGCCAGAAGAAATACATTGTAAACATCGAGGCAAATTTGATTCCCAAATAAAATATTAATTACGCAGTTTTATTTTAACACCATTAGAAAGCTGAGAAAAAATTACTACGGATTTGTTAAAACTGCTTTTTGAAATCTTTGAAAATAAACGTACGCCAGCTCATTTTTGAAAGTGACATTTTTCGGTTTTTTGACCATACCTTCGTTATTTGTAGAGGTTTGTATCTCTTACGGTTTACGAGATCCCCATAGGTATTACTCAACTTCGGAAAAAAACTCACCCTGTATATGATACTCAACTTGAAGTCTTTGAATATAATTTTATATTCAAACTTGAAGTGAAGGTTGTTTTCATTAATGCGAAAAGTTTATTTTTAATGTAAGTCGTTTCTTTTTTTCCATCAATAGGCAGTACAATGGAAAATAAAAACATTTTATAATAAAATCCCTATATTTAACGCGGAAATACAACAATATTCTACGCTCGATTCTACGTTACTTACAATCAGAGACGCAGTATCATCCGAGCCCGAGACTGTAATAAAGACACTCAGGCATTAAAATAATAGGCGAAATTTGAGCATATGAGGGCGAAGTCACATTTCAGTGCACACTTTGCAGGGATTTCAACATATTTTTTGTACATCAAAGGATTTCCCGGTTTTTGACTTCATTTCAAGTAGGTACCTATACGTAAGTGGTAAGTTATTGCTGGTTTAATATTGTTATGTTAAATCTGTGAATATGAATAAGCTGCTATGGGACAATCGAACTTTGGTAGGTACGTAAGTACTTACACTGAACCTGGTCGATCAAGGGTTGTGTAGCTGAGCCGGTGGTTTGCTCGTCGATTGAGAAAACTGGCAATAGGTAAATCGTCGCGTTTGGGGCGAGCAAATAAGTAAACATTTACTAACTCGTTTTTGCAGCGTTCAGATGCTTGAGTGAGTTGGTCTGTCCACTCGATTTGCCGTTTGTCGTTACGTCTGCATTGGCCCTTGAGTCAGTCTGTGAGTGCGTGTTGAGATGCGATGCGGCTGCGTTCGTGATAAATCTTCTGTAATATTTGAACATTCCTAGTTCTCTACAAAGGTCGTGGACGGTGGTTTGGTAACGGCAAGCCCTTAAGAGTTGCTATCCTGGTGCGGGATGACTTAACATCTTCGCGAGAGATGTCCATTTCAAGGAATGTGAGTGATGGCACTCAAAACTGGATGATGAAGGTGATTCCATATTGTTGAAATTGTTGTAAAAATTTCGAGATGCACGTTATGCGTGGCTTCATTTGGTGACACGATCAAAACATCGTCGGAGTACGCGAACACGGTTTCCAAGAACCGTCCTTCTTGGAAACGAGGTGAGCGGGGTCGCTCAGAGGGATTGAGAAGGTCGGCAGATTCTTTATTCCATCATGCGGGCGAATTCGGCTCGAGCGGCGGTAAGTCTATGTCTGGAGAGGCAGGTCCGATACAGGTGGACCGGTTGTTGTGATGTGGTGCGTAGCTGAATGCGTCACTTTATCACTGAGCACTCGCGATGTAGTCATATCCTTCTACAGATTAAGTAGGGCTGCGAAGGGGTTAGAACTTTGAACCAGTCGCACTAAACACACAGAACTCGGCGGAGAGCTGGTTATTTCTTGAAGCGCTGTCGAAGCAGGAATTGTCCTGCAGACCCTGGAGCTCTGATTTAAACGTTTGCGGCCCCTGCTACGCTCAAGTCGGTTAACCGTTTTGACCAATAAGTGTGCAGCACGTTTTAGTTTGACGCCGGATGTGCATGCGGCGCATCGCCACGAAAATGAACTAAAGTTCCAGAAAATTTACTCTTACAGATAAAGAAGGGATCTAATCTACAACCAATATGAATAATTAAAGGCGGTTTGATGAAAGTGTTCCGTATTGATTATAACACGGATAGGTTATTACCTATTGGAATGTGAAACATTTCGATAAAACGCTCAATCATTTCCTACAATACATTCAGTCATTGAATCATATTGACCATGCAGTCAAATGCCTTGTGGAAGGGCATTATGCCCTCATTTTCTGCTTCAAGTAGTCATGTGTTTTTTTGTGTAAGCCATGTAATACTTTAGTTGGGTAATAATTTACAGTTGGTCCGTTTATTAATGCTACAAACTTACAAATATCTTGTCAGTTATATATACATTAAAATAAGATAGTAGGTAGGTAGGTATTACAAATTGCGTAAAAATAAAAAAAATTCTTTACAAAAAATGAACTATATATAAAAGAAAGAACATAAATATGGCAACTCTTGTACGACTTAAAACTAGGTAGGTAATCTAAATTCATTTACACATAACAGAAGTTCGTCAAATCAACCAGCAAGTGGATGGAATGTACCTGCTACATCAAGTTTATGTGGAAATAATTAAAAACAATCCAACTTTTTAATAAAATAACGGTAAAAGCAAACAAATCGCAAAAGATAAAATAGTTACTCCTGACCGAGTTCCTGAATTATCTTTGTCATTTGCAACGCATTTCTGTACATCTTCAAACAATTGAACAAAGTTCTTAATATGTGTAGACTGAGACTGTAAATAGGATAATCCTTGAGTTGAGTCTTTAAACAGTAAATCCAATGTGTTGTTAAATGAATTAAACACTTCAAAGAACTTATGCCTATCTGATCCGAATCGAGTTTCCAAGTTTAACAAAACCGCATTAATGTTGCCCACCTTAGAGCCATCTTTTTTGGCAAGTACCTCACTGTCAATAATTTTCGTCAAGGCACAATTCTCATCGACGATGAAACCTGGAGCAGCAGCAAGGCTTCCATTTTTGCACAAAACCCTGAAGTCATTCGGGTTGAATTCGCTATAATCTAAAAAGAGAATAGATGGAACAATTAATTAACAGTATAGAGTGGACTTTGCTCAAATCCCGTCCGCACTTAAAAATTATAAGACAAAGCAAAGTTACCTTCTTGTGTCACAACAGCAAACTCTCCAGCTTCTTTGAGGCATTTCAAGGCACCAACGTGTCCATAAAACCTATTTTCAGTGTTACTATTACAGTTTACACCGGCTAAAATAAAAAATTATGAAAATAGACAACAACAGTAATTTTCAACATACTTTTGCTTTCTTGTGGATCAGGTTGGCAAAGTTTGCAAAGCTTCTCTACATCAATATTCCCGGAAACTTCGTGTTCCTTGTCGTGCGCTCCTGGCATGCATGACTCAGATACAAAATCACTAATTAATTTCCCATAATCACAGCTTGAATGAGATATAACACCCTGAGCACGTGCTGTATTAATAAAGGACAACCATTCTAGAATTTTTTGTAGAGTATACAGTTTGAAAATGTTGACGAAAAACTTACCAATACCCCCATAGTCTGGAATACATGCTTTTTTCCCTTTCAGATCCGCTAGGCTGTTTATACTGTTATTATCATTGCGTAGAACAATAATAGGTTTGATGCGGTCTTTACTTGCAGTATCAGGGAATGCTAATGGTGCTAGATCTTTCCTAAAATATTCTTGAATAAGCATACTATTTACAAAGTAAAAGAAAACCAACTTTCTAGCTATATATCCAAGGTGTGCATCCGATGCTACAACATCAACTCCACCTATTTTAATGTCTTCTAGGCAAGCAAATGGCGTAGGACTTTGAATACACTTTATGGTAGGTTGTATAGCAACATTTGCACTAGCTTGAGCTAACCATTCACATTTTTGTTGTTCAGCATTTGACACAGTACACCACCTTATATTTTCGCCGCATTTTTCTTCAGTTGATGGAATCTCTCTATATTCTGTAAATCAAATTGTACACCGGTATATGAAAAGTAGATCGAAATGGCCTTACTTGCAATATATTCCAATAAGGTTGGAGCTTCTGCAACAATTTGAATTTTATTATACTCCTGATCTGTGGGAAACAAAATTGGTTGAATATTTTTCGTATCAGCGTTAACGGGTTCAATGTTGGAGTTTGTATTAATTATATTATTTGCAAACCAACTCTGTATATCAGATTTGATGACAGATTCTTTTTCTCTGTAAAGGAAACACATTATAGATGGCAGTATTTAATAATTGGACATACTTATTAACCACAATTAGATTCCACGGTTGTTTACTCCACGCACAGGGATTATCAAGGCCTCTAACCTCTCCATTCTTGCATAAATATGCGAACTCGTCAATTCTGTTTTTATATTCTGTGCTGTTAAAATACTGGTAAACTGTGTGCATAGTTGTAACTGCAACATCTCCACCATTGAGTAGGCAATTGATTGAATCTGTAAACGGTACATTGCCAGCTTTACAGTCGTTTTCTTTACATAACTCGCAAAGATTTGAGTAATTTTTATCTGAAACGTTAAACATTATACATTGAACATTGTACAAAATTACGTACAAAATTCGTTGTCAAATTTTTCAAAACCAAACCAAGGGCCTGGTCTACAAGAAGGCCCAAAGAATTCAGAGACCGCCCTTATTTCCTTTTCCAACAAAGTTGCAGTCGAGACTTTATTCTTGCAACCCTCAGCATTATTTTCTTTCAGAACTGTATTTTCAAACTCCTTCAAAACGAAATCGGTCACAATGTGATTGAATTTGAATCCAGGATGGCAGTATTTTTTACCACGCAAGTTCTTTAACCCACCTGTGTGAGTCTTTCTTACAAGAACAACTACCGCAAATTCCGAATCATCTACAACGCAGTCGGCATTACAGTGCCAATTTTCTACTTCTAACAAACCTAGTTCTGTGTCAGTGCGAAATTCTCCCACCACAACAACATTTTTTAGGAACTTTGCTCCTACAAGAGCCGCCTCTGGTTGGACTGTTCCAAAATCAGCTCTTTTGTTCTCTATGTTTAATAAGCAGTCCACACTGGAAACCATTATTATGTTAAAACAAGTACAACAATGCAATAAATATTTACTTATGAAGGCTGTATTGGCAACGAACGAAGTCTTGCCTTTCAACTTGATCACAGTCTGATTTGTCCTTTAGAGATGCGCATATAGAATCTACAAAGTGTATTAAACCTTAAACCTTCTTAAATAGAACAAAGATTATCAATCTAACTGCATTACGCGTAAGAATGTAGACGTTTCTCTAAAAAAACTTCCATACACCTCAAGATGGATGACTAAGATTTATTTTGAGCATTTCTTAGATATGGAATAATGACTCACGAAGCCAAATGCCGATAAGAATATAATAGGTAAATATTTTTTTATTAAATATGGGGCGTTACGGCCAATAGAATATTAAATATTTAGCAAATTGTAGAATTTAATTTTTCGAGTAAGTATTTGTAAAATTCGGATATTCCATAATCATCAACTTATTATAGGTAGGTAGTATTTTGTGATAATTCCAAAAATATACCCTACGGCCAAGTACCTTATAGGTGGTTGCAAAAGAAATAGAGACTTGTTCTATCCATTTCTGTGCGTTTTGTGACCTACCTAATATAAAACAGACAAGATAACATCAAAGCCTAATTTTTAAAGTACTTAACTGTCTAGTACCTTCACACCTTGAATACATATCATTGAGACCTTCTATATTGAAATTGGTTATTAGTTTTTGAAAATCTCTCTTGCCGATTATATAACAGAATTTACTAATTTATTAATTACACAAGATAAATGCAACACCTATAATGTAAAATGACGATTCAGCATAGGTACTAATAATGTAATAAAAGAAAAAGTATACTTACATGGGTCTCTTGAGTAAACCTCACATAACGTTAGAAAAAGTAACACCAGGACCCGGCATACGCCCATATTTCCACGTTTCAAATTTGTGTGGCGTATCGCACACTGTGAATTTAAAAGTGATATGTTAAAGGTTTATCCAATTATAGATAAGATATGAAATGCAAACAGTATGGATACAGCGAAATCAGTAGGTACAATCAGTTTACAAAAAATGGCTATTTTAGCTACCTAGTTTAATAGCCATGGCCGTACTAATTTTGCAGTATTGCGATACCTATAACAACCTGTCAAGGTTTATATATTATGCTATATATAAAATAAAGACAAATAAAATGAAAAAATAAAAATGAGTAACCAAGAGATCTCTAAACTGAACCCATTCTTAACTTAAATCACGTGAAAGTATATGCTTCTCTATGATGATAGTTAATAGTGATTGTTTCTCCTTTAATTTTTCTCAGAAACCCTAACAAATAGAAGGATAGAGCTTCACGAAAATAACCCAAAATTAGTTACTATCAGTACAACAGAACAAATTTCAAATCCAACTCCGGATCGACAAGATGAAATTTCAAAAAATCTAGAGGGTGCACTAACTATTTAAGAACACAAATGACGAACATTTTTGTGCGGTTCTCTCAAGAAACATTATGGACAGTTTGAGTGGCGGATTTAACCTTTTGCTCCCCATAGGCTTAGGAAAAACTGTCGCACTCAAATAAAGGCTAAAATAATGTGCAAAAAATATCGGTTTGTTAAAGCGATGCATCCCACCCCAGAGATGTAGTACCATCCCGGACACATCCCGGCACCGTTTTCCCGGCGAAAACCCATCTCGGCGACCATTACTATCCCGACATCGATCATTCCGGCGATTTATACCCCGCGATGGCCTATCCTGGCCACTATTGCTTTCCCGGGATCGATTATTCCGGCGATGCACACTTTCCTAAGGACGTTTGTCCAACCCCTTTTTGCTTTTGTGTTTTTTCGAGTGTTTTTTATATAAATAATGATATACTTTAGAAGTGATTGTCAAATTAAGTACCGAAAGAGGTTGTTATGGTGCATTGACGTGGATGTCACACAGGTTCATAGGGACTGGTATTCTTACTTAGTAAAGGTACATATAAAATTGTATCATCAGAGCCAGTTTTCCATGTTTCAATTGAATTTGTCTAATAGATACCTTTCAATGTGAATGCATTTGTTGTTTCTACGGAAATTATCTGTGAGAAAACTTAACAGTAAGATTAAAGACTAGTCGCCAGAGAAGTATTCATTCTTCTGAGATTAGATGACTAAGGGTAACCCATTTTGGAAGTCGAAGGAGTCATGAATGATAACACAGGGATAATGTATATTTGTCATTGTTTATACAGTGGAGAATTCTAAATGATTCATTTCTACACAATTTCCATTAGTCAACCACTTACGAGTTATTTGGGGGAATATAAATTTAAAAATTTTTTTTACTCCACTTAAAAAAAGCACGGAAATACAAGAAAAGCTACAGACTACAGAGTCCCATATTTATTCATTTTGTCGGGGTGGGGTAGACTAATTGCATCTGTGACATATGTCGCTGTCTAAAAGCATCGTACGAGATAACAGCACGTGGTCGACGTAAATTTCCCTTCTGGAAAACTCATTTTCCAACATTCAAAAAATGTCTACAACTTATTTCACGGAAGCAGATGTATACAGTAAAATTAGTGATGCAATGGCCAATGTAAGAACGTGTGCCAACATGATAAATAGAATGTGTCACATTTTGTGATACTTCTGGAAAGAATCAAACTAAAACAATAACTTTTGAAGCATCCTAGAAATGAACGTAATGTATTTACCTAGCTGCTACAATGAAAAGTCTAGAAGGAGATATCCTCAGGCACTCCTAACCCAAATCAAAATTTGGAGTAGTACCTTATATCAACACCACAATCACCCACGAATTGAAACTTACATTGGCCGGATATCACAAAAATTTATCAGAAAACGTATCCTGTGGGTTAAATTAAATCTAGTCACTTTATCTGCAAACGATTAACTTATAAGTTAAATATAACAAAGTTATTGTTTATTATCACACCGCGCGCTGTTATTACTCATTAATTAAACGAATACCGTTGAATTTTTTTTCATCATACTCACGGTTAGTATTGGTACAAACCATAAACTGAACTCCCTAATCCGATTCAAATCTAAATCCACCGTCTGTGTGCCGTCATGAGGACAAAGGATTATGCTAGTTACATTGCTTAGCATACGTTGTTACAGCAACTAGTGATAACCTACAATCTTAATATTATCAAAGGTTAATTAAGTAATCATATGTTGTGATCTTTTTATTAAATTTTATCCACGGAAAGCTTTGATATGGGCCGGGGAATGTAGTTCAAGGGTGGAGTGTTGGCCCTATTTTTGTTTAAAAGGCTAGTCAGTCCTTGAAAAGATAGATAACTTCAGACAAGCACTATATCTACATTTACATGAAAAACATTTGTCATTGATATATTACATACATATTTTACATGTAAAATAAGGCATTATTTCTTACTGTTCATATGTAAAATATGGCATTATTTATATATTATATTTGGCCTCATCGTTTCCATAACACCCTGTATAATACAAATTCTTAGCTACACTGAGGGTCGACCACGTGTTTAAAACGTGAACAATAGTAGGAACCGGGATCGGTTTACAGTTGGTTTTGGGCTTGAGGTACACTCAGTAATACTTCCCTTCAGTTACTTGGGGCGGTTCGCTTGGGTACCTCATATAGGCAGTACCATAACCTGCGTCGTTTGGCTTTAGACCGGAGTGAAGTCATCTCGACAGTAGACTTCTAGTCTCCCGAAATTCCTGCCGTTCCTGTTCAGCGGAAGAGTGCAGAGATTCTCTCCCTCTTAGGAGTTGACTTTCCTTTACAGAACGTTGGACTGGGTATCGATTGCGACACCCCTTAGATGGGATGCAATTTTAAGGGGGGGAACATTCTTGCAGAAAGGCATAGCGCCATCCCACAAATTTTCCTTCCTCGGTGCCGCCAAAATTGAATAATCAAGCTAGAAAGAAAAGAAGCTTGATGACCGGATGACTGCAGCCTTTAAAAGTTTTAGCCGCTCTGCGTCTAGAAATCCAGCGGGAAAGTTAGGGCTCTCGGAAACCAGGCCATTCAACAAAAGCCCACCCTGAAAAGAACAGCAGAGGTCAGTGCATCGCTCTCTAGTGGACCAGCACCCTTAAAATTAGTCGAAATAGTATATTATATACCGCGGGACTGAAGTAGTACTTTTAATCCCGAAGGTAAAGTTTATGGCCCGACCGAAGGGAGGGCCATAATTTACCTGAGGGATTAAGACCACTACTTCAGTCGCAAGGTATATACGATATTTTTCGTACTTCCGAAACCGAAACACTTAATATGTATGGAGTTAGAGAACGCGTTCTTTCAAAAAATCGCTGCTTAACAAGTTACCATAGGAACGTTGCGTTGGTATGACAATCACTATGCTATGGTAACAAAAATAATTTGGAAATTGTCATTGCTAGTGTCATAATTTTGGTGATGGGTGACAAAGGTGTATTTTATATTGATAAAAAGCAGCCAAACTAGGTATAGAATGGATACCACCGAAATCCAAAAAACTATATGATACGATACGTTTAAGAAGTAGTGCCGCATACAAAATGTGGAACAACCTACTGAAATTGCCTTGTTAGTAATTTCATCCTTCCGGGATTTTCGTCCACATTTAATCCCGGCGGGACAAAAAGTGACACTTCAGTACTTCTCATAAAGGAGTGAAGTTCTTACTTTAGTCCCGGAAGTACGAAAAATTAGTAATGGTTAGTAGAACCGCAGGAACGCTGCGTTGTATTTTTTTGAAACAATGGGATGTTTACATTTGATAAATTCCTTTTATCTCGTATGTCGGGTTTGTTCAGAAACCTACACGCCTAAGGAACCTACCTGGTCGTCCAATGACAAGAAGAGATATCTCTAACTCGATACAAGAACCAAGAAACCCACATGTAAAGTAACCACATGCAGTGACCAATTTGGGTTCCTTGTTCCCAAGCCGGATGATTCCAGAAGGGTCATTTTAAACCTAAAATCTTTTAACAGCTTTGTAAAAACGACCTATTTTAAACTTAAGAATCGAAAAGTGGTGGTGAAACTGTTTACTGGATTATGGCTACTCTCGAATTCTTATTGCTCCCTGTAATTAAACGTAACAGAAAGTACCTTGGGTTTAGATTTAATACAATGTGTACCTACCAAGCGATGGGCCATGGGCTATGGTCTGACGCAGATAAAGACCTAGATATTAATGATTTCGAATTATTCGCAGTCTATGTTTCGGCAATCTCCTCTATCATTGTAACGTACTGTGTCGAGCCAATATCACCAAGGATAACGCTATCGTAGTCTCTTACATCAACCGTATGGGAACTGTTCATCACCTCACATTAAATAAGTCATCCAGACCAATTTGAACATTGTGCGAACAATCTTCGCCTCGTACATCAGGTTTGAAGATAATGTGGAGGCTCTGAATCAAGAAGGTTGAAAATTGATACTGTGATGTAACATATCCTGGCAGTTTTAACATTTGAATCATTCCCGCCTTTATGATTACATCAAAGGAGAAAAACGCATGACACGCTACTGGAAATATCGAGGGAAGTGCATAATTCAAATTGCACCAGGACAAAGCCTCGTAAAAGAGAGTATGGATTTACTTTCATCAAGCGAAAAAAAAAAGAAAGGTGCCAAAGTTTTTTAGTTGAGGCGACAGTAGATAGCTTTTGGTGGTAGGTAAGTATGTTTGTTCGCAAATATAGGTAAAAGCGAGTGCATGTATCCTTTATTTTTTCCTTTGTAATTACTGTTATTACCTCCGTTATTAGAATAGGATGTAGGGTAATGTTTTGTATTACTTGCTTGTCGATTTAGTAAGTTGTTTGCTTTTATAAATTTGAATTGGCAAGACCTTATAAAGCATTGCGCAATGTCGTAAAATTAGTTAACACTTGAGAAAGTGGCCGTACTTAGGGGTAGTTTCTATTTGCTATAGATATCGTACTTAGTTTTTTCATGTAGGTACGTACATTGAGAATGTCGCTTCAGGTACTTACACTAATTTGGATAATTAAATACATATAAATTTGTTAAATGTGAGAATTCTTTATATCCGGTAATTACCGCCAGATTTAGCATGCGTTTTTTGATATGAACATAAACAAAAGGGTGACACATTTTTTTTACTTCCAGACGAAACTACTGATAAAGTCGTCACGATAACATAAACTGGTGATAGTCGCCAATATGCTTTAATCCACACGAGTTATCGTATCCTGTCTAGGAATTTAGCTAAAAAGAGCGGAATGGGTCATTTTTTGAGTTGTGTAGATTGCACGGTTACCACGTTACTAATTAAGATACGCAAGGCAAGTTAAGGGTTGGTCTTGGTATGAGTAGATTTAATATCAATTGCAAGATTTGATACATTTGGTTTCCCTAAATCAGATTTAGTCGTCCATATGCATATTTTGAAGGGAGTATTTATTCTTGTCTTAACTCCACATGAAGTATACAACGAGGTATACAACACCCATTGCTGGCTGCTTGTTGTGTTGCTCCTATCCTTACCTTGAAAAAATGCACCAAGCAAAAAAAAGGTCTTTCATAGTTTACTATCTCGATTATGATTATACAATAATTTCGGTTTATTAGGGGGAGGGCTATTAATAATTAAAATGAATAAATATAAGAAATACATTTTATTTAATTATTGATTGATCAACCAACTACAAAGTACATTTCAAATCAACTAATTAAGATGCAATTGCATGATCTTTGTTCTATTCTTCACTGCCGAAAATTGGTCGATGATCTCTTTTGGAACTAAAGAAACTAAACCATTTTACAACTTATCTACGCGACCCCTTGGGTTGGGGGTCCACAAGCACGTGCTTGTTCTCCTATTGTACCAAAATCCGGCCCCGTCGATCGTATTACTCCACGAATCATACGTGATAAAAATACATAAAGATAAAAAAAAGGAAAAAAGAAAAAAAAATTCTTTCAAAACTGACACAGCCCCGAGCACAGCCCATGTCTAATAAACGTGTAAACAAATATAGAAAACGAGCTCCTGCATGGGTATGGCTATAGCATGTGCAAAACCAAATTTTGAACGTGGTGGTAGTTTTGCATAAACGCGTGGCCAAGGGAGTATCCTAGTATACAATGGTTTTGGAAGAAAACCGAACACCAAAAGAAAACCAGGGGGATCAAACAAGGAGGTCAGCTTCCCCCAAGGATCTTCGGGATAGCACTTGACCATGCTATAGAACAAACGAGGATGGTGGTGAGGAACCTTAGCACAGGCGGCCAATTACAAATACCAACATTACTGGCGTACGCGGACGATCTACTCGTAATCGCGGATAATTTAGAAGACACTGAGGACTTCGTCCAGGTCAGCGAGGTACCAGGTACACCTGGAAATAGTGGACCTACAAATACACAACGAAAATAGCTACATGATGACAAGACTGCCAGGAAACAACACCCCTAGTACAAAGAAGGACAGAAGACCATAATAGCCGGGAAGGAGATAACCATAAAGCACAAGATCAAATATCTGGGAACGTACATAAGCAGCACCCTCAGCAGGCACAACGCAGTGAAAGACAGAATAACCAACACATTCAGAATCACACACGGAATCTGGAACTTCTTACGAGAGAAGAAAATACCGGACAGCTTGAAAATGATGATTCACAACACGATCATAGCACCGACAATCTTATACGGAATATAGCTAACAAGGAGCAACAGACGAACATTGAGGAGGGCGGAGCGAAAGGCACTCAGGATACTGATGGAAAACAGTAACCTTACAAGAAATCAGAGAAGAGAACTACTAGATAAAAAGACGATTACCAGGAGACTGAAGATGAGGCAGATGAGACACCGGGGACATACCAACAGGAGGAAAAAGACCATATCATAAGGGGCTGCCGAGGGGGCTGCCAAGATTCTATGTACCTCGGAATGGAAGGTAGGCCGACACTGCCACACATGAAACACCACCATAAACCAAACGGTAGAGGT